TATATGCGTATATATATGTATATATGTATGTGTGTGTGTGTATATATACACAAATACATATACATATACATACATGCATATACATATATACATATGCACATATACATATATACATATACACACACATGCATATACATATGCATATACATATACATATATAAACCAGTTAGTGGGGCACTGATATGTTGCGTTATTTATGGAGGTGGGGGGGAATAAAATCTTCCTTCTGGAAGCAGGATGAAACCAGAATGAATACTGGAAATAAATTTTTAATAGGCTAATTCAATTCCTAAAAGTTAACATCTTTCTAAAACTCAGCCAAAATCTTGTCTAATTTGTATCATACAGCAAACAAAGACCATACAGGATTTCTTTGATTTCTTTGAAAATAATGAAATCTTCCTCTCAGAAGTGGGAGGAAACAGGAGGGTGCAAGACACAGATTTCTCTTTCTTTCTTGCCTTCTTAAAGGACATGGACCAACTAAGGTTGCTAGAAGTGCATATGCTATTTGGATGCAAGGATGGCACCAAATGGCATTCTGATGTCTCTCAGACCTCAACTGACCCTACTTAGCCCAATCCAGTCAAGTTAAGTTTCTGGAAGGCTATATTTTCCATGTCTTTGCCATACGGGGAAGTTTAAAATGCTGAAGATCGAACTAGGAACTGGCAGAAAAATGCAGAATTAAGCAAGACCAGGACAGGTGCAACAGTCACATTTTTTTTGCCAGAGCACACAATCAATTTGCTTGTCCATGTCCATCACAAACCCCTAGACATTACACGCCTACGCACATTTCGTCCAAGTACAATTTGCCATTAGTGAAAATGAGGCATTTCATTTGGGATGCAGACAGTGCTAGAGCTGAAGTTCATTTGATATTCTGAATCCTATTTATCCTATGATAAATTTATTTCCTTTCAGATGGAGATTACATTAACTGCATTGTGTTGCCGTTTATCTTGAAGTATGTGACATCTATCTTGTCTGATTACAAAGACAAAACATTCA